AATATCAAATAAGTAAAATATGAATAAAATAACACACTAATATAATGGTAACAAGTATTGCGTGCTAATTATATATTTTCTTTGGTCCAGTATATGGCTGTATTTACCGCCTTCTTGTTGCCTATCATAAGGTCCTCTTGTGTACATGGACTTGGCCCTCTTGGGCAGACAAGTAGGTGTGACGTTGTCTGATCTTGCCCACATATACAAGTTATGTCTTGTTCTCCATATCCCCATTTTCTCATATTTTCTTTTGTCCGTCCTACACCAACACGCAGTCTGTTCAGTGTCTTCCATACCGGCCAGTCTAGGTTGTTACCAGGAGGTAATCTTTCTGCTGGTTCCAACCATCTTTTACCATTGGTGTCCGTGATCAGTTTTTTCCATTGAATTTAATTAAAAATAGACATTACACATAGATAACTTGAATCTTTTTTTTAAGTCCATTTGAAAGAGTGTTTTCTTTTTGGTATGGTACGAAACGTAATATTGAAATAAATATTTGTAGCATCGTCCAGCGGTCAAAATGGAATCAAAAAAACCATTTCCATTGTAAAATCAACACACTCTAAAATATTATATTTCTTAGCACGTACACATTTATATATTTTTGTGTTTGTGCTTCTTCTCTTTTTGTTCATTTAAATGTTTCATAATATGAAAAAAAAATCAATAATTTGTTTTATCACATAAATATTGATTAGATTATTGTTTTTACATTTTTTATGAGCCGGCTTTGACCGGGAAAAATGTTGTCGAGGAAAAATGAAATCGAAATAATTTTTTATAGACGACAAATGGCGCCTGCACTGGTGAACTCCTATTTTCGTATTTTACCTGCCTTTACATCCTCCCCAGATATGTGAAAAAAAAATTGTTGTTCCGATCTTCTTTACAATGTACCTCTTCAGTAATATACCTATGTTTATTTTCCCTACCCTGTATAAAATATGTAACAGAGTGACTTGTCAAAGGAAACAACTTTTATTCTAATCAATATTAACCGAACTTTAAATTCTATTATTTTTTTTTTGGAAAATCAAAATAGCCAATTTTTAAATCTAATTTTTATCACGTTGATGAAAAAAACGGTTATTAAGGCCGAGTAGCTTATTTTGCAAAATGTTTCTGGAGTGAATTAATTTGTAACGTAAAAACTTTTTTCATAATATTGTAGTGGTCAAGCCCACAGACGTCAGTACAAAGCAATTTTCTATTAATTAATTTTCAGACATAAGTAAATCTTAAATTATTTTTTATCCATACAATTTTCATAATATCACTATTTTTTTTAGAGTAATTTAATTAAAAACGTGAAATAACAATTTTTAGGTAACGATTATTTTTGGGAATTGAGTACATGAGTATATTACTCAAATTATATTTTATTATCCATATAATTTTCACAATTTTTGTCTTACGTTTAATTACAGTAACAATTTTTCCTCGTTTATACGGGATGAGTTATTGGTACGACGACAAATTACTGTCTTGGGACAGTAGACAGAAGTGAAAACATGTACTAATAAACTTTGATTATTGGTTTACATTAAATTTTATTATAGCAGAGCTCCATGTGAGCAAAATAGTGATGTTACTCGCGTGACTGTTGCTAGATTCATATCGATAACCGTCGGATTAGACATTTTATCGTAGTCGACGGGCAAGGACCGTGGTATAAGAGGCACTAGCACTTTTCCCACTTTTACTCGCATAATTCAAGCGGTGAGTAGACCCTCCCAAGAGAATTTTCACTTCGAAATTAATGTACTTGCTCGTAGTAACAATTACTAACTAGTAACGAAAATAACAAGATAAACTTGCAATAATTATCTTATTTATTGTTATTTTTTTCGTATTATTTTGTTACAGGTGTCCCGCGGCGAATAGGACAGCAGCGTCATGATCGAGAATGACCGCGAAGAGTCGACGGCCACACAGTGGAACGTCACCGGAACTACGGCCACCGTGCAGTGGAACGAGACAACTATGTCTTGTCACTCCGAGATCGAAGGTGCGCTGGGCACGGCCCCGTTCCAAACGCTCGTCTACCTGACCTACACGATCGTGTTCGTCGTGTCGCTGGTCGGCAACGGGCTGGTGTGCCACGTGGTCATGTTCTCCGCGCAGATGCACTCGGTCACCAACCTGTTCATCATGAACATGGCCGTCGGCGACCTGCTCATGACGCTCTTCTGCGTCCCGTTCTCGTTCGTCGCTACGCTGCTGCTGCAGTACTGGCCGTTCGGCAGCGACCTGTGCCACACCGTCAGCTTCGCCCAGGCGGTAGCCGTGCTGGTGAGTGGTGATAGTGCAGGCGGGGTTGGTGGTAATGGTGGCGGCTGCGGTGGATACGATGGTGGTGGTGGTGATTGGGCGGTGGTGGAGATTGCGGTGGAGGTGGCGGTCTGTCGGACGATACACTCTCTGTCATATCGTTCCAAAGCGACTCACAAACGTAATACTATGCAGGAGACTATCTGTAAAGCCTGACTTTTACCGAGAAAAATGAACAAACAAGAAACACGGCCATCGGTGTGCTTCATCGTTTTGTAAACTAATTCCGCGGAGATGGGCACTGCGCCTGAGGCGAATTGGATACAGCGTTTGGTAATTTTCGAACGTGGTTCGAACTACTGTAGTCTCTAAACTTTTCCGATATCTTTAAGAATAATCCCTCGACTAAGAAACTTTCGTCAAAATCGGTCGAATAGTTTTTGCGTCTATATAATAGCTACAATCGTGAAGAGATTATATCGGAGTCGTTGCCTTTGGTCGTACGTTTGATCAGCAGACGATAATTTCAATATTATTTTCCTTAATTTGAAATAAATCCCCCAGCAACGAGCGGTGGGTTGCTTTGTCTACTAGATTTTGACGACTCTGCATTCCTGTGTGTTTATAATATAAACGAAACATTATTCGATTTTCGATAGCTAACACGAAATCAATGGTGATATTCACCTGTATAAATCTATAGTAGTTGAAAAAAGAAACTTAATGGACCTTCTGAGTCTCAAGATATCTATACTAATAAAATCTACAGAACATTATGGATTATTATAGATTTATAACTTTTAAGATTGCGTAATTTTTGTTGTTTGGAGTGTGAGCAAAGGCAATACGTGGCTCTGTGAGGCATTTGATTGTAATCGTTTCTATTTTGTTATAATAAGTTAGTATTTAGATTTTTCAGAGCTGTCTTCGCACACCGGTCATGGGTTCTCGGTAGATAATGTATTTAATAATGCGTTTTTTCTTTTTATTTTCTATTTGTTATTATAATAAATTATTATAGCACCGTTATAAATAAATATTATTATAATATATTAGAGCAGCGTGTATATTGACGGTGACGTTCGTGTGGACATAAAATGATTCTCGGAAAACCTGTAGCAGGGATTTCTCGACAACAATTTCGTGAAGAACCACGCTAATGATTTCGATCGATACCGATGTTACTCGACGAGTTTGTTGTTTATAAAGGAAAATGTTTTGAATCGTTCCCAGTAAAATAGAGGGGTATCAACGTTCAACAACCCCGGAATAATTATATTTATTTACCCTCGAGTTATTTTCGACTAACACAATAAGTGCTAACGCGCTTGTCAATAAGCTCGGATTTAATCTAAACACGTTTTTCTTTTTTCTTGCTAATTTTGTAATATTATGATTTAAGTACAGTTTTACAATTTTATTTTATTTTTATATACTTAGATATAAGCAATGTACTAGAGATCCCAGAATTATTTTTTTGAAAACACGGGCACTTTAATTATACTTATATACTTTTAATTTACATATATGTTAATAACGGGGAGGGGTAAGGGTGTAGTCCCTCAAAAGTTATTTAATCCGACCAGGTACAATTTTATTTTTACATTTTAAATAATTAATAGATTTTCTGTTTTTGGTAACTATGAAATGTCATTTGACCTTGATGTAACATTTCTCTTTCCTCACTTAAATTTATTCTATACTTCAATAAGTACCTACTTGAAACGAAAATAATTAAAATAAATAATAAGGATTCGTTATTTAGATATAATCATTTATTGATCAACATTTATATTTTAAAATGTTAAATAATAATAAAAAATTGAATTTTTGAAACGATTTTAAAATAATGTACATATAGGATGGATTATCCAGAATACAGGACTTAAGTGTGGGCCTTTTACCGGGGGAACGCTTCGTTCAAATACTAGACAATCCTTTAAAATAAGGATTGCGATTCCTATAATCAACACAACATTCGGCATCGTTTATTATACCGGTAACCTATATAGTAACAAGTAAAAAATCTCGTCCTGATTCCGTATCAATGGGAATTCAATAAATTTAAACAGTACATTTGTGTTCGTATATACTGACAATAATATTACTGACAACCCACACTCCTGATAATGGCACATGGCAGATGAGGAAAATGATTCTATTAATAACTGTTATTCAGTCTGTAGAAAATTAATTATTAATTCAAAGGGTTTTATAGAGTAAACGATTTTGTGTATGAGAGTGTGTGTTTGTACCTTCGGTATAGGCACCCAATGTGGGAGAGCAATTTAATAAAATTTACCAGCGTCTGTTTTGACTGAAAATACGCCATTGTATAACGATGCATGTATGTGATTTACATAAAATTGAAATGTTGAATACGTATGTATATTTATTAATGATTGTATAACGCAATAATTGAAAACAATTCGTTTGAGACAAATTAATAATCGATCCGTAATAAAAATAAAAAAAAACAACGTAATAATGCATACAAATATTACGTTATATTGAGTAAGACATTTCTCTCTCTCTTGATAATAATTATTATTGATTTCCAACTGTATTATAATTATAATAGTGATTTTAGAGCACAGCAGATGGATTAAATATTTTTGATTTCATTAACAGCGACCGCAGCTTATGTCTTTCCGATTCAGATATAATTATGTCGAAATTGTTCTTGAGGGGATTGGGTACTGACATTTTAATAAATTCGTCTCAGTCTTTCATACATGCAACATGAAAACTACCCATTTTGGGTCCATCGGTGCCAACGTGAGTACGATCGGTGTACAGAGAATCGATAAATATTATAAAAACAGAATTAAAAGTGTACGGAATGATCGATCAGACCGCTTTTACGATTTAATTTTAGTTATTTTTCAAATGATACGTTAAAATATTTTCATTGTATTATGTTCAAACCTTCAACTCAAATGTTCAGAAATTAGAAAGCGATATTCGAAAAAGTGACCACATCGAGCTCATGCGCACTTCACGCTGGATTCAAATCTGTTTTATCGTTTCACTGCAGGGTTCAATCGTACCGAAAAAGTGGGTAGTTTTCGGCATGTTGCGCGTGTGTGAAAGGCAACAAAATAAATCAGTGCCCAATCCTCTCAACTTCAAGTCGTCTCGCGTATGACTTCGTTCAATTATACGGTCTCCATAAAAAGACAAAAGTAAACTAATAATAAACTGGCTACTTTTCTCGGTGCCGACTGGTAATTTTCTTTATTCGAAATCCACAAATCTCTTAGTCCTTATGCACCACACAGCTCATTTTCCTTAATCGTAAAACTCTGAAATAATGAAGGTTACTACTTGATTTATAGGTACTTTTGAAAACACTTTTAACCAGTATGATTCTTGCTCAACACTTCAGTTCCGTATTTCGTTAGATTAAGTAATTTCTTGTATGCATGCTCGCTTTACTCGGCATATCACCGAACAGCAATTCGATTAGGTACAGTCGGATCTTGCAAAACCCAAAAAACTTTTATTATTTTTTGAAATCTATGAAAGTAATAATTGAATATAACACGTTTTAACATATTTTACTAATTATCTATTTCTATTGTCTGTAATAATGTATCGTGTTCAATTATTATTCATTTCGTAAGTTTGGACGTTGCCAGTCATAGACTAGAATAACTTTCAATATTATTTACATCTTACTCTTGCTGTGGCTGTTAGAAATATTTGAAATATTTCGTACTCCCAAAGTTCTTAAATTAAAGTAGGTTATTAGTAATAACTTATTAACTTATTACAGTACGAATTGTGTTTATGATTATTGTCACGTATGTTCACCGAATAAACACTGATTTAAATTGTTTTTTTTTATATGCCTAAATATTACATATGACCAACCCATAAATTTTCACGTTTCTTTATTGCTTTTCATAAATATTTCTGTGTTTCTAAACATGCTCATAAGTTGATTTGAATATCTACCATTTAATATTCATTTGTCTTTATTTGGTGTACATTTAACGAAATCGTCAACAAAATAATATAAAAAAAATGTTTTTTTAATTTAAATTAACTTTCTACTCGCCAAACTTCAGACGGTTTAATAGAAATATTCTTGTTTATTTTCGATTTATAAGTTATCATATTTTCTTATATTATTCAAATGTTTACCTATGTATAGTGGTTGTGTTATTGGAAAAAGTTAAAGTGGGCGCAAAACATATCTGACGTCGAAATAGCTATTTGAGTCGTATGTATTTCACTTTAAGAAATTGGTGAAATATATTATAAATCATTACAAGATGTAATTTTATCACTAGTCCGAGAAAATGTTTAACGGCTGTCAATTATTATTATACTCACATTTTTTGAAAACATACTAAAAACACAGCTTAACGACATAGCAGTATTATATAAATACCGTTTTATAAATATAATATTATTGTTTTAAACTTGTAAAGGTGCTGCCTGCGTAAATAGTGATAAATAGCATGTTTTCATTCATTCCGATCATAATACCATTGTGCTTAGCTCGGGTGCGAATCCTTTTATTCATTCGGATAACTTATAACTTCGGACGGTATAATAGAAATATTCGTGTTTATTTTCGATTTTATAAAACATCATATTTTCATTTATTTAAATGTATACCGAGAAATTCATTTAACATAGAACACTCATTATTCAAAAAGTATGATTATTTTTGAAATTATTTTTGAAGTGATTTCAAGTCATTATAAAACAAGGTTTTTATTAAAAAACCATCTTTTTCAATAATTTTTATCTTGAACATTTTTTATGTTTTTATTTATTTTAATTACACCGTGTAGTTTTAATTTCATCTCAAAAATCAGAATAATTTTCTAAGTAAATTGAATTTAAATTAAGTAGTTTACGAGTTATAAGCATTTAAGGTAATATTAGTACCAATAGCGGACCAACATTTTTCGGGGTAATCGCATACCATTCTACTCCACTCGTCAAAACATTAAATACTTAGATATACTCGTCCTAAATTCGATTTTTATGTATCGAAAAACTTA